CCAAGGGGGTGGTGGAAGGAGCTAAAAGAAAGAGAAGAGTACCGAGAGGAACCGCTAGGAAATAAACCGAGGGGGCCTCGCCAGGACGGTCCCTGCCCGTTCCGGCTCCTGCCTCCACCAGGGCCGCAGGGGCCCTGCGCCCGGGCGAGCCTTACCCAAGTCGGGCCCCGCACCCAGCTCCTCCCTCCCAGGGTCCCCATTCCAGGCCCGGGTCCCGCACCCGGATCCCGGCTTCCTCCTCCCAGACCCGGGCCCCGCACCACGGCTTCCGCGCTCGGCCCCCGCCCCTACCGCGCCGCCCGCCCGCCTCTCACCTCGCCGGCGGCAACCGCGGCCCTCGCTGGGTTGTGGGTGCGGCGAAGCCCGGGTGCGTAACGGCGAGCAGGTGCGAGGTCGCGGCCGCGGCGCTCGGGTCTGAAGCGGCGCCCGGTCGCTTCCGGTGCTCTGAGAGCCTCGAAGGATTCGGTGGTCGGCAAGCCCTGAGACTCAAACACCATGTCCCTCGGAGACCTCGTCTCTCTGCGTTGGGCAGTGAGGGGGAGAGCCGTCCGTTCAGCAGGAGACAGTTGGGAGAACGGCTGCCCACACGCCCCACGCCGCCATTTTCTAACTCGAATCTACCCCTCACGACCAATTCGAAAAAAAGGGAGGAAAGAAACGCCCGCGTCTAGCTACTACGCAAGTGCGCCGGAGCCTTGGTTTGCAGCTCCTCCTACGGCGGTAGCGGGGCGTCACGCAGCGCATGCGCCCAACTGCTTTGAAACGGCCGCCGGAGAGCTCCCCTCTCACGCATGCGCGCGCGCATGCGCGCACTCCACGCGCCGGCCTCTAGGACAACGGGTGCCGGCGGCCAGGCGTTAGCGCGCGTCGGTCACGTGTCGGCGGCCGTAAGCGTTTGAGACGTCCGCTCGCGGGTCGCGGCTGGTGGTGGGCGCGGCTGGGAGTCGCGAGGCGCCAGGGAGAGCGTGGTCAGTCAGGGAGTGTGGCCGGGGCTCGTGGTGTCCGTGTATGGTGCTGGAGGGCTGAGGAGAGATAGGCCGTGACTCCCAGAGACGTGAGTGAATTCGGGTAGCGTCACGGCGGGACCTCGGCGCCGGGGGTCCGCGACGCGCCGGCTGCGGATGCTCGGAAGGCCTGGGATTGCGGAGCCGGGAGGGACGGCCGCGGGCGTGGATGAGAAAACCGGACCCGTCCGCCGTTCCACGGCCACCTTGTATTTGTTTTCCGTGGTGGGTTCCCTAGAGGCCAAGTAACTTGCCATTTGCACACCTAGTCGGGGTCAACGAAGATGAAGTCTGCAAACACATTTTTAAACTGTGGGACTAATACATGTGTCCAGTGTCAGGATTTGTGTTCGTGTGCTTTTATTTGATTACTGCAGTATAGCGTCTCAAATATCACGTACAGTAATAGATTAAGCTGTACAAAGCGGTTCAACTTTAACTCTCCTTGCCTAACGGTTAATAGGACGCTATGGGAATTTGGCCCATTATTAACGCATCAGGAAAGTTGCTTCAGAAAAGGAACATTTTGGGACTTTACTGGTGGCGCAGTGGTTAAGAATCCGCCTGCCAGTGCAGGGGACACGGGGTCGAGCCCTGGTCGGGGAAGATCCCACGTGCCGTGGAGCAACTAAGCCTGTGCGCCACAACTACTGAGCCTGCGCTCTAGAGCCCGTGAGCCGCAACTACTGAGCCCACGCACCACAACTCCTGAAACCCGTGCGCCAAGAGCCCGTGCTCCACTCGCCGCAACTAGAGAAAGCCTGCGCGCAGCAACAAAGACCCAACACGGCCCAAAATAAAAATAAATAAATGAATAAATAAATAAAAGAAACATTCTTAGAGCAGTGGTTATTAACCTTTTTGGGGAGGAAGGGTTTATGGATTACTTGAAAATGCGAAGAAAGTTTGTGCATACATTCATGTAGGAAACCAGTTTGCATATAATTTCAGGGTGTTTGTGAGTCCTCCCTAAAAGCCTATCCATGGACTGACTAGCGTGTTAAAGACTGCTTGTCTAGGTACTGGATTACACATCATAAGGGTTTAAAGAAGAACAAAGGTGACCCCTATTATGTTTACTTCTCCTAGAATGAGACATTCAAAACAGTTGTTGCTAGGTGTTTGTTCTTTTTCTGAGGATGTACGTGATACATACCCAGCCAGGGAACTGTGTTGTGTATCTTTCACACCGTCCTTGTAAATTGGATGGAATGCGAACTGTAGGTATGACTAGTCAGAGAATGTTGACTGACAGTGTATTACAGAAAGAGAGATCTCCAGAGGCATGCTCTTAAGTGTTTTTTTTTTCTACAAAAAGAGACATAATACCCTTCAGGATGATACATGACTTGGCAAAGCTATGCAGTTGGTTAGTGGCAGAGCTAGGGCCAGAGCCCAGGTCTCACTTCCAGCCCATCGTTCATTTCAACAATCATGGAATGCCTACTGCTGGACACTCCACAGATGTTACAAGTGGCCCCTCATCTCTTCCAGCTGTCCCAGGTCAGCTTTCCCACACGTCACACTGGCTGTTCTAAGTCCTTACCACTTAAACCTCACTAGCCACATTTCTCCATATTCCACCTCCCAACCCCCAGCCTCACTTCCTGCCTAACCATCCTTAATACATATACTATGCATTCAACTAGTTACCAAATGAATGAACCCCTTTTATTTTTCTTCATTGAGAGACATTATCCCAGATATTTCTGGATTCCCTTCTGACTAGTAGTTTGTGAATCTTCATGTTTGGTTCTGTCTGTGTGAAGCTCATTCATTCCAAACTTATTAGTGGCTTAGAAACTGAATGGTAATTTTTGTTTTTCACAGGCAAGTGTGATTACTAGAGAACTTGCTATATAATATCTGGTCCTTACTACATAAAGGACCCAGCTTAGGTAGTGCTAAGCTTTCTTATAGTCAACATTGAAATGTGGCTAGTTAAAATCACAACTTTTATTCTTGCAGTAATCCATTATTTATCTTGTAAGGCTGAGCTGGTACATTTATTTCTTAATTACATATTGTAGTATGAGGTAATTGATGCCTTTCTAATGCAAATAAAGACTTATGCATATAATAGCACAATAGCACTTTAGCTGACTTGCACAAAACTGTGGTGGATTTTAGTGCTTTACTAAAATGGCAGCTTTAAACAGGCTATAACTCAGGAGAATGAAGGCAGTCTGTATGCAACCCCTACCTCCACTGAATTCAGCTTCCATTTGTCACTCATTTTATGAAATAGTCCTCCAAGAGCATTAGCTAGTTTTTTTCCTGAAATCTACCTTTCAAAAATGTCTTTGAATTTGCTTAACCTCTGAGGATTTTTATGGTTGCCAGGTTAGGTCACTTTCATCTTTACGTTAAGTCAATAAGTAACCAGACGCATCAGTTTCCCTTCTTAACCTAATTCAGAATGAGTTCATGGCAATGTAATCTTGCATTCCTTTCTCCTGCTTGAGTTCCATGACGGGAACCACCATTGTGTCAGCTTTGCCACTGTGATCAAGTCATAAACGTCTCAGATAATTCAAGCCTAGTTTACCCTAATGAAGAAAAGGGGAAGATAACATTTGTTGAATTCCAGCCGTGTCCTGGCCTTTGTTTCAGATGGAGAACCGTGAGATTGGAATCGTTCTCTGTTTGGACTTAACAGAAAACAACAACAGGAAGCCTATAGGACCACACTGTGCTCCAAATATTAAGGCATTGAAAAAGGAAGTGTTTTTCTATCATCAGCCCAGCAGCGGGGCTGCTGTCATGGAGTGGTCTGGCTGAAGATCCCAGCTAATAGAAATCGGTACCTCTTTTGTGTTTGAAGGGACCTCTTTGAATCCAGAAATGCAATTGCACTTGTCTCTTTATTTTGGGTCATTTGTTGACCAATATCTGTGCCCTGTCCTAGAGTAGGTTGTACCTAAAGAATAGGAAAAAAAAGGTTAGGACAGATGGGCAGATAGCATGCACTGCCTTAAAGAATGTTGTATACTGCTTTTCTCTTCCTGTTCTTCAGTTCTTCATGAGTTTGGTGCTGAATACTGATAAAACGACCTCCACAGTCAAGAGAAGGTAAGTACTAAAGGCAGCAGAATGAAGAATTTGGGGTTAGCGTTACCAGATCACAGAGCATGGAATTCTTCAATAGTTGTGCCACAGGAATTCACAGAGTTCTTGGAAGATTCGCATTCCCCCAGACCTGGTCTGAGAGCCAGACGTCTGGTGGGTGATGTGTGTATTAACAGGCACCAAGAGTCTTGTTTTCCTCCCAGACTCTTGCTCGAGTTTGAACCTAGTGGAAAGTCCGCCTCCATTAGTTGTTGGGCAGGCAAAGGTTATCCAACCGACTGAGGGAAGGAAGATGAATAAAACAGGAAATATGGTGATTAAGAACAAGCTTTGGAGTTAATTGTCCTGAGTTTGATTCTTTTTTTTTTAATCAATTTATTTATTTATTTATTTATTTTTGGCTGTGTTGGGTCTTCGTTGCTGTGTGCGGGTTTTCTCTAGCTGCGGAGAGCAGGGGCTACTCTTCATTGCGGTGCACGGACTTCTCATTTGTCGTGGCTTCTCGTTGTGGAGCACAGGCTCTAGGCGCACGGGCTTCAGTAGCGTGGCACGTGGGCTTCAGTAGTTGTGGATCGTGGGCTTCAGTAGTTGTGGCTCGTGGGCTCTAGAGTGCAGGCTCAGTAGTCGTGGCTCACGGGCTCAGTTGCTCCGCGGCATGTGGGATCTTCCCGGACCAGGGCTCGAACCTGTGTCCCCTGCATTGGCAGGCGGATTCTTACCACTGCTGCCACCATGGAAGCCCTGAGTTTGATTCTTCAACATGTCTCATACCAGTTGGGTGTCCTCAGACAAGCTATTGAACTCTGAGCTCAGTTTCCTCATCTGTAAGCTGAAGGTAATAGTGCCTTCATGGAGTTGTGAGCGTTAAAGGAGAACATGGATGTAAGGCACACAGTAAGGGCTCGGTATAAATGGATCATTATTATTAAGACAATAGCCCCTGTTTTTAAGTTCCTTGGAGGTTTTCCCTCCTCAAACACTGAAAGGATTTTCATTATTTTTTTCAAATACGATTCTTGTTCTAAAAGATTTTGTTTACTATCAAAGATTGTATTTGTGAAATGATAACTCAGTTTCCCTTTACTAATCAGAAATGTAACCGACATGCGGAGGTTTTTGCCTCCTTACCATAACTAATATAATCTCACCAGGTTCTTGTTATTCCAGCTAAAAGCAAAGAACTATGATGTTATAGCTGGAGCAGTTTTATGATGAGTTAGACTTATGATTTCCAGTAGGCTCTTTGAAACGTTACTTATGAGTCAGAGAATCCCTGTGCCTTTTCGTAGGTTCTAGACTACATTTTTCTCAATGTCAACACAGTTAGCTTCAAAATTAAAAATTAATGTTAAACTGGGAGTCAGCTGGATTCTCCTGAGACTTTGTGCAATGCCTGACTTATTTTGTCCTGGAGGTTGCAGTCCATTGACTTGTATTTTCATATTTCAGGCTTCAATGCAAAAGGAAAACTAATGGCTAAATTTTCTAGAGCTGTTATCATATTTTTTTTTTTTTTTTTTTTTTGCGGTACGCGGGCTTCTCACTGTTGTGGCCTCTCCCATTGCGGAGCACAGGCTCCGGACGCGCAGGCTCAGCGGCCATAGCTCATGGGCCCAGCCGCTCCGCGGCATGTGGGATCCTCCCGGACCGGGGCACGAACCCGTGTCCCCTGCATCGGCAGGCGGACTCTCCACCACTGCGCCACCAGGGAAGCCCCCATAACTATTTTCTTATATTGAAATTTAAAGTCTTTGGTTTTGGCCCTCAGGGACCTTCGCATCTTGCCCCACTCTATCTTTTCAGCCTCTTCCAGCGTTCCCTGTCATGCCCTCTATACCCCCTAGCCTCTCAGTGTTCACCAAATACATCTGCCTTTTAAAGTCTCTCGGACCTTGCTGGGGGTTCTCTCTGCCTGGATTGCTGTTTCTTCTCCTGGTCGGGCCTCTCTGAAAACCTGGCTCAAATGTGTGCTCTGTGGAGCCTTTCAGATCTCCCGGGCCGAGGTGGAAGCGCTCATCGTGTACTTTCATGAGATGTCTCTTCCTGGTAGACAGTTTGCTCCTAAAGCACAGGGCTTTGTCGGAGTCACCATCATGTGTCTGGAGCCAAATGTGGTGTATCGGTCTGCTCAGGCTGCCGTAACAAAATGAGCTGGGTGGCTTAAATTACAGACATTTATTTTCTCACAAGTCTGGAGGTTGGAAATCCCAGATCAAGCCCTAGCAGGGTTCCAGTTGAGAAGTCTCTTGAGGCTTGTAGATGGCCGCCTTCTCACTAAGTCCTCACATGGCATTTCCTTGATGTGTGGTGTGCTGCAGAAGGAGAGAGAGCAAGAGAAAGAAGGAAAGAGATCTCTCTCTGGCGTCTGTTTTTAAAAAAAATTATTTTATTTGTTTATTTTTGGCTGTTTTGGGTCTTCATTGCTGCATGTGGGCTTTCTGTAGTTGCAGCGAGCAGGGACTATGCGTTGTGGTGTGCAGGCTTCTCACTGCAGTGGCTTCTCTTCTTGCAGAGCATGGGCTCTAGGCATGCAGGCTTCAGTAGTTGCAGCACGCAGGCTCAGTAGTTGTGGCTCATGGGCTGTAGAGCGCAGACTTAGTAGTTGTGGCGCGTGGGCTTAGTTGCTCAGCGGCATGTGGGATCTTCCTGGACCAGGGCTCGAACCCAGGTCCCCTGCATTGGCACGTGAATTCTTAACCACTGCGCCACCAGGGAAGTCCAAATCCAAGATTTTTAAATGCTTTAATCCAAATACATACCCACTCCTGTCTTATATATCATTATTGTCCATCATTTTACTTACAGCTCATTTTTTTTTTTTTGCGGTACGCGGGCTTCTCACTGCTGTGGCCTCTCCCGTTGCGAAGCACAGGCTCCGGACGCGCAGGCTCAGCGGCCATGGCTCACGGGCCCAGCCGCGCCGCGGCACGTGGGATCCTCCCGGACCGGGGCACAAACCTGTGTCCCCTGCATCGGCAGGCGGACTCTCAACCACTGCGCCACCAGGGAAGCCCCAGCTCATTTTTATATTCTTCAAATTATTTACTATTGCTGTTGTTTTTAAACAGTCGGTGCTGATTTAGAGTCACCACGTAGTTAGTTACGAATTACTTTGCTACCATTTTTTCTTACATCTCTTTTTCAAATCTTTTCTTTCTGAAATAAATGCCATAGTATTTCTTTCAGTGAAAATCTTTATGGTGGTATTCTTTTAGGCTCTTCAGAAAAAAACAAACCTCTTCTCTTCCTCATTGTTGTATCGACATTTAGCTGGGAAGGTAATTCTAGGCGGACATTTATTTCTCTCAGCAGAAAAATTTACGTATATTTCTTTATAGAGAGATTATGCTGTGCCACAGCCACCTAGCGGAGGAACGGAGGCTTGAATCCATGCCCACGTGACACTAGAGCTGAAGTTATCAGCCGAATCCTTTGTATTTGGATTCATCAAATAATATAATGTGAACAGTAACAGGTCCACAGTGTATCTACATCATGACAACACATAGGCAAATTTTAAAATACAATATTCAGTCCAGTGCAGCAAGCATGTTTTGCAAACTTCTCAAATGGTAAGCAGCACGGGGCATACAAAAAGGTATTGTGCTTTGGTGGAGGCAGCACAGTCTCCCTGGGGAGGTGGGAAGCAGTGGCAGCATTTGTTCCAACACACTTCAGCATCCCAGCCAGGGTTCTAGGTCTTGTGTTGCTGGGGAATAGCAAACGCGTCAGGCTCTCTTTGAGGTATAAATGTGCTTGTATACTGATTACCCTCAGGAATACATATGCAAACATTGTACCCTGGCTGAGGAGCCCCCTGAAAGCAAGCCTGGACAGGGGCATGCACATACCTAATTGATTTGGGAAAGTGAGTGATTCCAGAGACTGGGGGAGTATAACAGGGAAAAAGGAAAACCAATACAAGAGTGCATTCTCAAGCTGGTGCTGGGGCTCTGTCTTAACCAGGGTTCTCCAGAGAAGTAGAACCAAGAGATTTACTATAAGGAATTGGCTCGTGCGATTATGGAGGCTGGGAAGTCCAAAATCTGCAGTGTTGGCTGGCGGGCTCGAGACCCCGGAGAGCTGATGGTACAAAGTCTGAGGGCGTCGTGCTGGAGAACTCCTCCTGCTTCAGGGAGTTCAGTCCCTGTTCCCTTCAAGGCTTCAACTGATTGGATGAGGCCCACCCATACTACGGAGGGCACTCTGCTTTACCCAAAGTTCACCATTTTCATGTTGATCTCATCCAAAAAGCTCTCCAAATTGACATATAAAATTAACCATCACAGGCTTGGTCCTCCGGTACCACCTAGCAGTGTGTAGAATGTGCCTCAGACGGTGCTACCTGGGACAGAGAGGGAGCAGTTGTCTGCTGGTGCTGCGCCCCATGGCCAAGGCCTTCTTGCCTGTGGATGCATGAATTTGGGGCAGATTCCTGCAGGCGTCCTGCACTGTAGTGTCAGGGCAACCCTGGGGCAGAACGCCTGAGATGCCTGGGTCAGAAGTGTGGCCAGGAGCATCAGGATACACCTGCCTCAGGGTACACCTGCCTCAGGGTACACATGCAGGATGCACCAGCACTGGCTGGAATAAAAGGTAGGATGGGAGAATATAAGGCCAGGGCATAAGAGAGTCATAATTCCTTCTCACTACCTTAGTTTTCCTCAGTGAACACCCTTCTTCTCCATTTTCTACTGGAGACTTTTAGAGTTACTGTTTCTCCCACTCATGGTAGGAAAAGCATTTAGTTTTTGTTACCCTCCAGAAACCACCGATGTCTTTGCTGTACTAATGACCCCCTCTGCCCTTGGATGTCACTGTCGGTCTTTCTGTCCTGCAATCCTCATGACCACACGGTACTGAGAATACTGTTTCACTCTCCCAGCTGCCATGAAGCCTTGAGGCCACGGATCCACCCTCTCTTCCTGTTTCTCAGTTCTGTGGTTCTTATTAATTGCTGAATAAATGTGGCTAAAACAAACTGAACAGGCTTTGCTTTTCGACTCTACCATACGGGTCCATTCTCATCGTGCTTTTAAAACTCCACGGTTAGGGCTTCCCTGGTGGCGCAGTGGTTGAGAGTCTGCCTGCCGATGCAGGGGACATGGGTTCGTGCCTCGGTCTGGGAAGATCCCATATGCCGCGGAGCGGCTGGGCCCGTGAGCCATGGCCGCTGAGCCTGCGCGTCTGGAGCCTGTGCTCCGCAACGGGAGAGGCTGCAACAGTGAGAGGCCCGTGTACCGCAAAAAAACAACAAAAAATACCTCTACGGTTAGACCTTACCCCAGTCCCTTAACCCTTTGGCCCCATCTTCTCATGCATAACATGAGGTACATGTTACCTACTCAGAGGTTCATTGCTCGATTACACGGAGTGGTGGGTGTGAAAGCACTAACAGCTGTGAAGCCGAGCACAGCTGCGGGCTGCGATTGTTACCACGGCAGAGTTTGCTAGCTGGCCACCACAATCTGCTCCCCCGTCTTCCGCAGGAATGGACTGCCGTGGGGCTCAGCGAGAGATGGCCCTGCCCGTCTCCTTTGTTGCTGGTGTGGCCTTGTGCCCAAATACAGGGATGCACGCGGAGACGATGGTGCAACTTCTAGGTCATCTCCCACATAGACAACGAGCCCCAGCCCGGAATGCAGCTCTTTTCCCTCCTCGCAAGCTGGAACGTGAATGTGCTCACCACCCAGCTTTGACCTCGGGAGGAAGACGGTGCCCGCAGCTAGCACGGCAACAAGCTGGAAAGGGCCTGGCTCACCATCTGGACCTTGGGCCTGTTATGTGGTAAGGCAATCAACTTTTCTTTAAGACACTGTCCTTTATGTTAGAGTCTCTCTGTTTCTGCAGCCTGGACTCTGTCCTGTTATTATGAGTACGGCGTCAGCGTGAGTCTCATATAACGAAGTCCTCTTCCTTTGACACTAAACTCATGTTGGGCCAGAATCATTTGGCCTTAATTTTCTCTCAGTGAGGATGTTACGTTGGAGGGGGCAGGAGACACTGAGGACCGTTCTATACCAGATACATGAAGGATGGACAGCCCTTGCCTTTCCTGCATTCCTGTAGAATAACTCGACGAAAGCGTTAAGCTCATATTAAACCATCTTCTTTGTGAAACCTTGGGCAGAGAAGGTGGAGCTGATATAACGACACCCCTGCTTTTCTTTTCGTGGCCTTGGCCAGGACTTTCTGTGACACACATTTATTAACCAGAGTCTGCCTGGAAATTGGGGCTGAGGAAATTTTCCTAGAGTGGGAAAAGCCCAATGCACTTGAAAACATGAGGCAGAGCTAAGCCCAAATTCCAACTTTATCATTTAACAGTGAAGTCACTTAATCTCCCCAAGTCCCTTTTTATTATTTTATCCCGCTCTTAAATGGGGCACCACTGTCTGCTTCCAAGGGTTGCTGGGGAGATCACATATCATTGAGACAAAGGGCTCCTGCATATTTCTGGGCATTTTGTACACTGTTCACAAATACTCATTTCTTTCCTCAGAAAAATTTGGGAGAATCCGTTATTAAAAAGTTTTGCTTGAGTTACTTTATATCCCACTCTCTCAGAAGGTATCTGAGGCTCCCTCTAAAAGGAATGTGATTTATAAAGGAAGTTTAAAAAGTACTTTCACATTCCTTTTAGGAGTGATTATTTAGGATTATTTTCTTCTTCCGATTCTGAGAGGTGTGTGTGTGACGGGGTAGATTTAGTTCACTACGAAAGAGAAGGTGCGAAAAGACAGCAGTCCTTGGTTTATGATAGCATTGCTGACCTTGATGGGAGGGAGGAAAAGATGAGAGGTGCTGGGCGATTCTGACCCTCAAGGTTGAGGAAATGAAAGCTAGTTTGGGAAAGCTGTGGTCAATTTTGAGTGAGACCCCTGAAGCTCCTAAGGCCGGGGAGGTCTGCCATGATGAGGGTGTTACGATCACAGTTTAAAGTCTTGGTGTCTAAAGCCATAAGGCAGGTGATTTCTAAGGCCTTGCAGGTTCCTGGGGATTCCTGGTGTGGGGTAAATACTTAGTGTTCCCTCTCTTCTCCTTACCCCCTTCCTGCCTCCCTTTTCTTCTCTGCCCGCTTCCCTGCAGTCTCATGCACGCACGGACACTCATTTGTATTCAAAGCAAGGCTTAATCCATTCGTTAAATATATACTGAGTAATAAATGTATCAGATTCTAACCAACTGAGAAACAGATTCACAAGGAGCCACTGAAAACCAAGGTACATATCAGCTTTATTAACGGGCCACGCAAGTGCCCGGTAGCCTGGGAAGAGCAGAGTTCCAGGTGCCGCTGGACTGGAGCTGGTGGATCCACCTCCCACCATAACCCTGACACCCCCATCACAGGCAGAGGGGCAGCACCCAGAGCAGCCTGGTCTGATTTGCTCGGCGCAGGGAGAGCAGCGATCTGAGGGAGAAGGAATTAGCGTCACCTGGTAGACGAGGCCCAGTGTCCTCTGTCCTCTCGTTGCTGGTCCTGCCAGTGAGAGAAGGGAGCAGTGAGTGATGGGCGGCTTTCAGTACCCCCTCCTGGGGAGAGAGCAGAAGTCTACCCCTCGGGACCAGTGAGGGGAGGTCTGAGTGGGCGGGTGGGGGACATAAAGACTCCTAACAGGGAGCTTTGGATCACATCTCCTCAAAGTTCACGGCGAAGTCCTAACCCCCAGGAACTCCGAATGTGACCTTATTTGGGACTAGGGTTGCCGCAGGTGTAATTAGTTAAGATGCAGTCACACTGGAGTAGGGTGAGCCCCTAATCGAACACGACTGGCGTCCATATAAAGAGGAAATTTGGACACAGTTACACAGCGAGAAGGCAGGCCACGTGAAGATGGAGCAGAGATCGGGGAGATAAGTCTTCAAGCCAGTGAACACCCCAGATGGCCAGCAGACCCCCAGAAACCAGGGGAGAGGCCTGGAACTGCCTCCCTCGGAGCCCGCAGAAGGAACCTGCCCTGTGCACACCTTGATCTCGGATTCTGGCCTCCAGACTGTGAGAGAATAAGTCTCCGTTGTGCAAACCACACAGCCTGTGGAGCTTTGTCCCTGCCCCCCCAGGACACTATACAGAGGCCTTGAAAGGAGGAGCCCTGGAGGAGGACTCAGAACAGACAAGCGAGGGGGACCCCACTGGCCGGGCCCCTGCAAGTGCTACCCCTTCTCCTCCAAATTTTATTGGAGTATAGTTGACTTACAATGTTGTGTTAGTTTCAGGTGTGCAGCAAAGTGAATCAGTTATACATATACACATATCCAGTCTTTTTTAGATTCCTTTCCCATATAGGCCATTACAGAGTATTGAGTAGAGTCCCCTATACAGTAGGTTCTTATTAGTTATCTATTCTATATATACTAGTGGGTATATGTTAATCCCAGTCTCCTGGGACGTAATTTATCACGTCCCCCCATGTTTCCCCTTTGGTAGCCACAAGTTTGATTGCAAGATCTGTGAGTCTGTTTCTGTTTTGTAAATAAGTTCATTTGTATCATTTTTATTAGATTCCACATATAACTGATATCATATGATACTTGTCTTTGTCTGATTTACTTCACTTAGTATGATAATCTCTAGGTCCATCCATGTTGCTGCAAATGGCATTATTTAGTTCTTTTTTTTTTTAAGATTTAATTTTATTTATTTTTGTCTGTGTTGGGTCTTTGTTGCTGCGCGTGGGCGTTCTCTAGTTGGGGCGAGCAGGGGCTTCTCTTGTTGCGGAGCATGGGCTCTAGGCGCACGGCCTTCAGTAGTTGTGGCTCACGGGCTCTAGAGCACAGGCTCAGCAGTTACGGTGCATGGGCCTAGTTGCTCCGCGGCAAGTGGGCTCTTCCTGGATCAGGGCTCGAACCCGTGTCCCCTGAATTGGCAGGCGGATTCTTATCCACTGTGCCACCAGGGAAGTCCCTATTTCATTCTTTTTTATGGCTGAGTAGTATTCCATTGTACATAGGAAGGCGTGTTCTTGAGGAGTTCCATTGTATTAAAAATCGCTGGTTGGATGGTGAGCCAGCCTGGGAGAATGAGGACGGTCAACTCGAAATATAAGAAGAAAACTAGGGGAAGGTGTCTAATGTTTCAAGAAAGAGGGAATGGTTAGGGGTCTTGAATGTGCTGAAAGGTTAAGTAAGATGAAGATTGTACAATATCTACTGGATCTAGCAAAATCATTGGTCGTTGGTGACCCTGCAGGAAGCCATTTTGGAGAAGGGAAGTTTGAGTAGAAGCCCTTTGCAGTGGTTTGAGAAATGAGGGGCGGAGACACTGTACATTACTTTACAGAGGTCTGGCTGAGAACTGAAGCTCAGAGATCAGGAAATAGCCAGAGAGGGCAGTGGGGTGGAGGGGTGATTGTTTTAATGCCTTTCAAAGTAGAAGAGCCCCGAGCATGTTAACATGCAGAGCGGAATGATCTAAGAAGAGGCTGAAAATAAAGAAGGGAGACGGATAATAGAATGCAGTTCTTGAGAAGGTGAGAGGGGCTGGGACCCAGGGCACACAGGGGTGCTTAACCCAGGAGAGCAGGAGGGAAGGAGGAGAGGATGTTCGCGGGCACAGGTGAGTCTGGGTAGTGACAGTCCCGTCCTTAATGCTATGGAAGGTGCCACTTTTCTGTTCGATTCAACTCCACAAATCCTTGTTCCCAGACACTAGGCTATGAGCTGGTGAGGTAAGTGAGAGCGAATCTAAGGCTCTCTTGGAGTCAGAGAGAAGTGGGGGAGACAGGTAACCATGATCAGAGCTAATGTTCATGGAGCATGGACTCCGGGCCACGCAGTCATAGCGCTGAGTTCTCACAACAGCCCAGCAAGTGAGCAGCCGTGTGATTCTGCTCTAACAGCCGAAGGAACAGAGGTGCAGAGAAGTTAAATTACTCATTCTAGGTTAAAAGAAATTGTGGGACTGAAATGAAAACCCAGAGAAATCACTCTGGAGGGTGTGCTTTTCATGACAACATCACGTGCTGGCCCTCGTTCGTAAATCATGTCTCAGGAAAGCAACTCGCCAAAATGCCAGGCGCCCAGCTATCACCAGTTTTCCAGGGCAATCCTGGTTTAATGTCATTCTCATCTTTTCAGCGAAGGCAATTCATTAACTTTCCTTCTGGCATCTCTTCAGCTGCACGTTCCTGTCAACCTTTATAATCCAGCCTGTTAACCCTCTGCTTCTTCTGTAAAGCTGGTCTCTCTATGTTTTAATCCTTCTTGGTTTTTTAATTATAGTTCCTTTCTGCATCCCAAACTGGGGCACAAAGGACTTGTTTTAATTTAGGAATCTGTGTGGGAAATCTTACAAAAGGCTCACAGAGATGATGATATGAGACTCTAATTTCCAGCCTGAACCTCTACCCTGAACTCCAGCTCCATATATCCAGTTGCTTACACAACATCTCTATCTGGATGTCAGATTTCAAAGCCTGAACCCCCAAAGCCTGATCTCCATCTTTGACTCTACCTCCTTGTCTACTGCCCCCTGCAGTCTCCCCATCTCAGTTAATGGTATCTCCATAACCCCAGGTATTTGGGAAAAAACCTCTCCTTCTTGATTTATTTTTTATTTTTTAAAAATGTTATTGAAGTTTAGTTGATTTACAATGTTGTGTTAATTTCTGCGGTACAGTAAAGTGACTCAGTTATACAGATATATATTCTTTTCTATTATGGTTTTTCAAAGGCTATTGAATATAGTTCCCTGTACTTGTTGTTTATCCATTCAGTATATAATAGTTTGCATCTGCTAATCCCAAACTCCCAATCCTTCCCTCCCCCACCCTCTCCCCCTTGGCAAC